AGCGGTAGTGCAACGGTAAGCGCGATGCTGCGGTACGAACCCGGCGACCCGAGTTCGATTCCCGCTCAGGGCCAACAGCAAAGACGATTTTATAAACCGGTCATGAGCCTCCCCTAGGTCGACTCAGCCTCAAATAAGTACCTGGTGCTGTGTGTAAACACCGCCACTGGAGATACAAGGGCAGCCGGGGGTGGTGCTGACCCCCCCCCCCTCGTGTCTTGTGTCGGCCTTCATAGGTGCTCGCTAACAGCACTTGCCCCAACAGTCTGTTAAGGCTACACGGGGGATTTTTGTTTTTGTTGTCTACTTCTTTATACATGGGGGTGTAGAGGCCATCCCGTTGCTCCACTGCTGTATGGCCTAATCCGAGCCAGCTCTGGGTCCGCTGCGATTATCTCGATTGACAATGGAGCGACAGTCACCTCCGCAGGTAGCAATGGCAGGGACATTCCACATTTCCATGGTGGGATCCAATCTCCTCCTGACATCTCTCTCACATAGCAGCAGTCATTTTATCCACTCCAGAGAAATGATGATGATGATGATGATGGACTGCAGCTGAGTCCTGAGCAGGATATGAACTCACAACCTTCTGATCGCTAGACATGTGCACTACCATCTGCACCACGTGGCAGTCAATCCACTGCTGGATGAAGGCCTCCTCCTCTTTGATGATCCTTCCCCATGCGCAGGGCCCAGACTTAGCCGTGCAGTGCTCGGATGCCCGCGTGCTCATTGAGCGGAGCAGCTCACACCGCTAGCCATTCCATTCAACGTCGCAACGACAACTTGGATTGCGATCGCTCAATGTCCACCCATCGGGACGAAGGAGCCAGATTCCGCCGGCTATAGGCAAGGAACGAGCCTCTCCCTGGGTGGCACGACTCCCTGGCGCGTGGCTCTGACCAGGTGGACCGGAGTCACCCGGAGACACGGGAGGAGGCAGCCACGTTCATCAATCGGGCGGGTGGCGCCACGCAAGAGCCCTCCACTCGAGTTTGAATCGTGGTTCGGGGTTGACTTCATCCCCACCATTCTTGCAGGTTCATAAAAAAAGAGAGTTACCGTTCCGTGGGAATTCAATGCAGTTGTTATCCTATGGAGATTGGCCCCTGCCAGGGGAATGTGGAATTTCCCCACGAGCTCAGGACTGCCCAGGGAGATGAGACCCACCCCGTGCTCTCTTGAGCAGTACGTCTCTCTGGTTCAACGGCAATGACGCGTCGCAGTTCCCGGTCACAGCCAACGTCAGCCTTAACCCCTTCCCCCCACTACTCTCGCTTCACCAACCCGCACTGACCAGCGTGATGCAGTATGGTCAAACAAACATCCAGCGGTGGATTGATAAAGATGTACATTATGAGTTAATGCGTACAAGAGGGGCACATTCACACCGGCCACGGCGAGGGTCGTGAGAAGAGCAATTCCACCCACACGTGACTTGGACGCTGGTTTGGGCCCACGTGGCAGGCGTCTCAGTCCTCACAGTAGACAGACACGTGTGCCGAGGACGCGTCGATGATGCAGGGGTGGCCACGCCCGCGGTGGGGTGATGGGAGGGGGGGTCACACGGGATGCGCGGGGGCTTCACAAAAATAACCGTCGTGGTCTCGAGAAACGCTCAAAACTCCCAGGGTGAATTCCGAGTGAGGAATTCGCACGGGCAAAATTTGGGAAGCCGTCCCGGGATTTTACCAATTAAATGTCGGCCGCGCTAGACATTCCGGCCAAGAGTTACGTTTCCATGAGCTCATCGAGTGCGGAGTTCTGAGTCGAGCAGCTTCGGTGGAGAGAGACTAGAGACTCGAGCGCGCGCGCGTGGAAATACGAGCCCGTGGCGCACGCGCGCGCACGTGGGATGCAGCGATGTGACGGGCAGACTTCGCGATGCTGGGCTTTTACGCCGCGGTCTTGGAAGGATTTCGAAAATAAATATATAAGTAACGCCAGCGCTAATGAGAAGCACGTGTCATTCCTTGCGAGGCTTCGCAAGCTACGTTGGGAGGGGAGGGGGGGGGTGCTGCGCGCAAAATCTGTTTGAGGATATTTTTGGCCTCGTGGCGCGAGGCCTGTCCGATCGCGCACCACTCAGCAGCGAGCTTCTTCATTCGCGGATTGCGCTCCGCTGCGGAACGCGGGGGCAGTGCACAATCGTCGTGATCGATGCGGGTTCTTAATCACACCCAGGCAGGCAGGCAGCCATCGCTTTGTGGGACGTCGGCACGCGTCGTGCCACGGTGAGATCTTCGTCCGCACCACAACTCTTGTGGAATTTCCACTGCTGGTTCATTGCCAAAAAAAACCCCGCACAGATATTGATTGCGGCACGGTGCTCATGCCAGGGCAGAGAGACACTTGGGTCAGCCGGTGGGCAGATGTGTTCACCAACCCAGTGTCCCCGCCTCTTCGTCATCAGACCACAATTTGCTGCAACGCAACATAACAACAAGTATAACCCGTAAAAACGTTTTTCACTATAAATCCTTTATATGCGTGGCGGCTAGAGTCCTCTCGTTCTCTGGCTTGAGATGGCTGCCACCTATGGGTCAGATGATTGTCTGCCACCATTAAGCAATTGGTAATTAAATATTTTTTAAAAAATTCCCTAGAAAGTGTAAAATTTTGGAAAAAAATTTTCACGAAAATTTATTGTCACGCACAACGAGTCTGTGTGCAAAATGTCAGCTCGATTGGATCACGGGAAGTGGGGTAAAAAAAGAGCGAAAGATTTGCACGGTCCTAAGCAAGCAAGCGAACTTAATATAAAGGATTTAAAAATCATCACCGTCCGTCCTCGTATTCAGACCATCGATTTTTTTTTCCTTCCAATTTCTAGTTTTAGTTTGCACAGCATTTCACTTTCGGTAAGTCTGCACGTTAGGCTGTCGAGCGACGCTCTCGTCAGAAGGCTGCGACTTAAATTCCACGTTGGGAGTCAACTCAGCCCATTTTTTATTCCCAGATTGTGCAGGAACGTAGCTTAATCGTATCTAATTCATGTACCCACCCAGCAGTAGAACAAAAGCAGTAATTGACCACTTCACAACTCCTCCTCCCCCGCTGCCCTTCCTGGCTCCTCCCCCCTTGACCACTATATAAGGTACAGATATTTAGCTGTGACGGTTTCACCTGACGACGGAAGCTTGTGTTGCCTCCGAAACGTCGTGATTTTTATTGTTTTATTTTTATTAATTTTAATTTCATTTTTTACCTACATGGTGACTTTACCGAAAGAACTAAGAGTAGGAACGTCACTGTTCGTCATAACAAACGGCAGATCTGTTTACACGCGTGTCGCATGGCTGTCTTGCGACGATGCCAGCTCATGCATTTTGAAAGCTGAACGGGCCACAACCGTACTCTTTGGTTCTTTCGGTAAAGTCACGTAGGTATAAAATAAAATAAATTAATTGACCCTTGAGCTATAACCATTTCAGCAGCAGAACATGCTTTCCCACCTGATGATGGACGCTTGCTTATGTTGCGCCAAGAACGTCGTGATTTAATTTATTTTATACCTACGTGACTTTACCGAAAGAACCAAAGAGTATGGATTCCTGCAGTCACGAAAGCTTCAAATCAAGATTGGGCCACAACCGATCGCCTCGATCTCTTGCCAAGATCAAGAGATTTCGACGGGTTGCAGTGTCCAGGCTTCCAGGACTCGTCTGGCGTGGTAAGACACGTAATGCGGCATCCCTAGAAAGGTTTTAATCGTATTAGCGCCCATTTTAGAAGACTGCACCTACTGTTTATGGCTTCACACGTCCAGTATACTCTGAGTCAACGTCAGGTCCTGTCGGCCAGCACGCACCACAGACGGTCTAATCAAGCTCATGCAAAGCCTGGTGGGTAATATCGTCAGACTGCCAACTCAGCATGGGACTCTGACAATGTAAACAAGCCCTGAAACGGCTCAAATGTCCAACTCAAGAGTGGCAGCACAGCAGCCCACGTGGTGTGCTTCGCTGTACGAGCATAGTTCACCCACAATTCGCGTGTCAACTTTATTAGGGGACGATTGCGTGCGTGAGCTCATACCCACACAGGTCGTACCCGAACAAAGTTTCAAGACGATCTTTAATCACGGCCGCGTGCGGAAACATGAAATATAAGGACTTTAAATGCTTCCCCAACCGGCCAGATCTGCATTTGACCCAAAATAAAAAAAGAGCGCACAATTTTACAATTAAACTGAAAAGAGGACATCTGAATAACGGCACGAATACAATTTGGCAAAACTCACGCACGGAAACAGAGTTGTGGTGGAAGCGATCCGAGGGGGGGGGGGGGTCGAGGCTGGCGCGTGGGCAGTGGCTGTGATGCAGCCCTCCCAACAATAACAACAAGAAGAAGACGCAGAGAGGGGGGGGTGGGGGGGGGGCGTTGGACCCGAACGGACGTTTCGCTACGACGCGGTGAGCACTCCACACCGCGTGGCTCGGTGGCTGCGAAGCGAGCGGCAAACTCATCGCGCACTCTGGGGCCATTCGATTGTCGTGGTTCATTGTCCGTCTCGTCTCTATTGTCCATCTCGTCTCTATTGTCCGTCTCGTTCGCATTGTCTTGAGGCAGCACGAACAGTACTTTGTTTAAATCCGAGACACGACCCGGCGAGTGTAGGGAGAGCCCAACAACTGCTATTCCAAATCCACAGAAGAAGCATTTGGGCCGTAAAACTTCTCAATTAAATATCCCCCCAAATATTATAGACACACACACAATTACACACACACACTATTACACACACACACTATTACACACACACACACTATTATACACACACACTATTACACACACACACACACTATTATACACAACAACAACAACCGCCATTCGCCACTAAGTGGCGGTGACGTCACCACGACGCTTGTGCCAGGCCAAGTGCACCTTGAGGCCACGTGAAGTGTCGAACGCCCGCTGGCAGGAGGTCACGGGGCAGACCCAGGTGCCACGGGTCGACTGACTGAGATGACCGAGATGACTGGCTGATGCACCACCTGTGCCCCCCTACTGTGCCAACTTGCTGTGCTTTAGCCACCCGGCGCTCCACTCGTTGTTGTGAACGTCGCTCCTCCGCTCTCCGTTGTTGTTGGAGGGCGACTGCCTCCAACTGCGCAGTAGCACCGTCCTTCACGAGCCTCCTCCACAGAGGCCGATCTTAACACCGCTGGTACCAGTCATCGGCAAGTCCACTCAACTCCACGTCCTCCTGTACCACATCACTCCATCTCTTCTTTAGCCCGTGCCGCGCCCGTTTAGCCCCCTCGATCCGGCCGAACAAAAGCTGTTTCGGCATGCGGTGGCTGGGCATGCGTGCTACATGACCCAGCCGACGCAGCCTTGCCTGCCGGAGGAGCTCACCGATGGGACTTTGCCCAGATCTTTCAAGGATTTGTGAGCTCCTCACACAATCCAGCCTGGTTAAACCCAGGATGGATCATAGGCAGGCCAGCCTAAATGTTTCCATTACACACACTATTATACACACACACACTATTATACACACACACTATTATACACACACACACTATACGCGCGCACATAACTCAACAAATCTATCGCCACGGAGGCGACTGCGTTTATAAACAGCACAAGGCCAATCTGCAACAACCGCAGATTGAGAATGACCACCGATACCACGGGCTTCCAGTGGCCACAGAGACTGACGTTGTTTTAAAATTTTTACTTTAAACTTTCGTGACTGCAGGAATTGATATTCTTGGTTCTTTCGGCAAAGTCACGTAGATAGAAAATAATAAAATAAAATAACAAGACTGTAAGACTAATTAAAGTTAAATTAAAATAAAATAAAAACCACGACGTTTCGATCGCTATACCAGCGCCTGATGAAGACCGCTTGTGTTGTGATCGAAACGTCGTGGGTTTTTTTGTTTTTATTTTAAATTTCTTTTTAAAGTATTTTTTTATTTGTACAACGGCTGGCCACAGGCCTGCGAGTTCCAGCTCAGCCTCCGCATCGTGGCCGAGCGCGAACAGGGGGGGCCTCGCTCCCCCGTGCAGCTCACCCGCCTCCTGTCTGCACGCATGCGGCTCACGGTAGCGATCCCCCGCGAGTGTTGCCACCTGGACGGGTTTGGCCGGGAATTGGCATCGGTCCTCGAGGCAGCAGGAATTGATTTGCGCAAGAGATCTGTTACCGGTGATGCCGTCTTGCACTTTATCCCAGTTTACCGCTCGATTGTTGTTGTTGTTGGTGTACGCCTGCGCTGACTGCGAAATGTGTCTGGGGGTTGGTCGACAGTGACTCTGCCACCTCCTTCTGCCACGGCCGCTGGGACACTCCCCGCGCTCCCAAACAGTATCCTCCAGTTATTTGTCTCATCCGTCAACGACCCCCCCCGAACCCCCTTTCTCTCTCGTGCCCCCTCGAGTCGTGCCGCCGGGAGAACTGGGGCCGGGCCGGTTGCCTCACCGCCACACGTGGCGCTCTTGCTACTGAACTCTGGAACTCATTACCATTGCACCATCTGCGCTCCCCACTCTTGATTACAACTTTGCAGCCTTTTAAGTCCACACTGCCAGTCAGCGCTCCGACGCGTGCGTGGCTGGCGACGAAGCATCCACTGCTACGGGTATCGCTTCCATCAGCGACGTCCAAATTTGAACAAAAAGCACAACCGCCGTCGATTTGTCTCAATGTTGAGAACTAAGAAAAAAAAACCAAGGCTGCAAATTCCGTTTCCATTGCGCGCCGTCACCGTTCCTGGATAGTCCAGTATTTTTACTGGCACTAAAGTGGCCGATCGATAACTGCTACCAGCAACGCTCTTTTCTTTTTGCCAGTGCCCAGTCGTGTGAGAGCACGCTGCAGGTCCTGCGTTTACTGGGGCAAGCAGGAGTGTGGAGAATAATAATAATGAAAATCACGCCAGATTAGCGGCCGGAGATGACCGCGTTTGCCCACGCTCACTCGGACCACTCACAGACGCTGCTCGATCTTGCCTCTGCCACAACACCTTCATATCCGCCTTCCCGCCGTATCTTTCTTCATTATTGACAACTTGCAGCTCGGCACACGGCAGATGCCTGCGCAGCGCGACTCACGACCTCCTCTTGATACCAAGATCCAGGATGGTCACGTCTATGCGCCGCTTCTCGGTGGCAGCCCCAACAGTCTGGAACACTATCCCTCTGCACATTCGCAGCATCACCTCAATCGCCTCCTTCAAGAGACACTTAAAAACTCACCTCTACAACCACGCGCTTTCGAGCGACTCTGAGCTTGGCTCCGCGCCTCTGAGTTGCGGTCGTTACGTCCGCAAATTTGCGCGCGTTACAAATTGAACTATTATTGTTATTATTATCACGGCTACACTCGCTCCTCACAGCACCCCCTGGTTCCGTGCCTCAACCCGAGCACTTCTCTGCGTGCGGAGTTGTGTTCTCTCTCTTTCTTTCTCTCCCTCTGTTCTGCGCGGGTTTCCTCACACAGCACGACGCAAGCGATGCCATCGGTGTCGGCCAAACATCCCGATGCAGAAACCCTCCTGCAAAAGCCTACAAACTCAGTCCGTATTCATCCCCCAGGTAAGTGATCATTGTTTTAGCCCACTGCGAGTGGTTCGCCACGTGTCAAGCATTCACAATCTCTATCTATTCCCCGTTTTTATTGCGCCCCAGAACTAGGATAGGCAGAAGCAAAATAAGTTTCTGAGCAGCCAGGCTTAGAATACGAGACCCCACACGTGGAATTGAACCTCGTCTCTCAGCACTGTTGGTCCTCTCTGATGAGGGCATTGCGAGCCCCTTGAGCTCGCTGGCCACGTTTCTATCGTTCCATCTCGGCGTCTCTCATTCCGTCTTCGTGCTTTCACCGGCACGAAACGATCTGCAATGTCAATCACGAAGGATCGCAATATCTCTGCTCATTGGGCTCCAGCCAGTACACACACGCACACACGTATATAAATATATAAATAGTAAACACACCGTTATTGTTTCATGGGTGGTATGTAGGGTGATTATTACATTACAGTAAATGAGACAAATAATAAAATCTTTTAATTTGTGGCCCTTTGTTCAAAAGGTATGTGTGTGGTGATGCAGCGGTTAGCGCTACGCTGCGCTACGAACCCGGCGACCCGAATTCGATTCCCGCTTACGGCCAACACCGGTGACGATTGTCTGAACCGGTCCCGGACCACCCCTAGGTCGACTCAGCCTCAAATGAGTACCTGGTGCGGTGTGTAAACATCGCCACTGGGGAGACAAAGGCGGCCGGGCGTGGTGTTGGCCCCCCACACCCTCGCGTGTCGTGCCGGCCTTCATAGGTGCTCGCTAACAACACTTGCCCCAACAGTCTGTTGAGGCTAAACGGGGGATCTTTGTCTTTGTATGCACATCAGACTTTCAATCTCTCATGAAGTCGCGAGTTCAGAAACGAAGCAACTGCTTCACTCAGTCACAAGTGTTCGGATAGCGCACGTGGGAATTCCATATTCCCATGGCTTTGACAATACCGAGTTTCGTCTTTAGTTTTTTGATGTCCTTCCCCCGCACCTCCGATGAGAACGGTTGGCTACGTACGGTGTGAAAGAAGTTCAACGTACACACATTCGGTTTTGGTGTAGCCATGTTTGTTTGTTATAGTACAGAGTTGGCCTAATAACTTTAAACTACATTGTCTTATGGTTGTTATTGTTTGACTTGCATCCCACTGGGAATTTTGCACACAGCGTTGAAATGCGGTGTTTATTCTGGAAGACTTTGCTGTTTTTTCCTGGATTTTTCTGTGTGCGTGTAGTCACTTTAAGATGTTTCTCGTTCATGTTTTTGTTTTGTTGCGGTTGCACCCGAGTCAAGAGCCGCATGGCTCACAGGGTTATAACTCATACATGAAACTGAAATGAAACTGAAGTTTAATGAACGTCGAGCCCTTAGCCAATGAAGGCATCCCTATCCCCTGTGAGCCACGGGGTTGTTGGACCACACTGGAGGGTTGGTTATGGGTGTCACAGGCCCTGATCTGACATCACCCACCATTGACGCCGTCCGTGAGCGGGTATCGAACTCTGCCCAACGGGTTCACAGCGAAGCTCGCGCTAACCGCTGCGCCACCGCTCCACCCTCAAGGTCGACGTGACAGCCACTGGCACTCGATGTCGCCACTGCAGAGAGACCACGAGCCCGGTCCGTGTCCTCGTCGGGAGCTAAACTTGCAGCGTCCAACGCGGGAGCGTCGCTCGCTCGGAGCGCCGTTGCGAAATGCGGTTGGGGCGATGGCTGAGAGGCAGAGGTCGCAAACGGGTTTTGATTCCTTACCCGTACCCGGCCGCACCAGGGTCGCAAACGGGTACCCGTACCCGGCCGTACCCGTACCCTACCCGTACCGGGCCGGGTACGGGTAGGGTACGGGTGTCGGGTACCCAATTGCGACCTCTGGGATGAAGCCATGTTGCAGGCGCGGGTGGGTTGATTCTAGGAACTTGAATTGTGAGAAGAGACAAGACGTTGGGAAATGAGTGACAAACAGTTACTCACCAGTGACTCACGGCCTACCCGTACCCGTACCCGGCCGCACCAGGGTCAAAAACGGGTACCCGTACCCGTACCCGGCCGGGTACGGGTAGCCGGGTATCGGGTAGGGTACGGGTATCGGGTACCCGGTTGCGACCTCTGCTGAGAGGGACCTCCCCCCCCGGCCCCCACCGCCCTGCCCCGTCACCCGCTGCCCCTCTAAGGGGCCGTCCATAAATGACGTCACGCGATTTTGGACGATTTTTGACCCCCCCCCCTCAAATATGACGTCACAAAGCTCTGCCCCCCCCCCCCCCCCAAAAAAAATGCTTCAAATCGCTTTAAACTATTGTCATTGTAGTGCGTATTTAATGTGGCGCTGCACTCTGATGTTGTGGGAGAAAACATTTATTAAAAAGTCTATTTAATTAAGTATAAAGTGTTGTCTATATTTATTTAAAGTTGCGCATTTTGATGTGACGTCACATTTTTCAAACCCCCCCCCCCCCCCTCGTCACACATCGTCACAAATGTCTAACCATCCCCCCCCCCAGGCGCCTGACGTCATTTATGGACGGCCCCTAATTTCTGCTCATCCACAAAGTGGTACTTCATTTATCGACCCTTCAAACGTGACGACGGGCTGAGTTGACACCTGACCGGGAATTTGAAGCCACAGCTTTCCGACTGTGAGTTCGGCAGGCGCTCTGGCAATTCTTGATTTCGTTGGCGACAGGATTAACCGGGGCAGCCGCTGGGTTCGAACCGCGTTGCCGCCCCAGTTCAGCGTGACGACACATTCCCAAGGGATTTGAGTGACATCGCTGCAATGTCCCGAACAAACGAAGGCTCCGTCCAGCGGCATATCACATATTTCTGGATGTCAGATTTTTTTTGCAATGTTTACGCCCAATTTCAAATTTTATTAAATATTTTCAAATGTAAATGTAATACTACGTGAATAACTTCCATTGCGTGTACACCAAATGTAATCGTTTCGACGATTTAAAATATCCGTACGATTTTTTTTTTTACATGCAAGTTTCATCGGCTAAAACGTACAACTGTGAACGCAGACATTGTTATACTTCAATGTTATATCAAGTGACGTCACGCACCGTCCAAAGTGTCGTTACGCGACGGCACTTTTGGCGGGAAAAAGAAGCGACGCGACCGGAAATTTCCATCGCTTCTTGCGGTGACTACATTTTCAGATCGATCCAAAAAGAAACATTTTGCACGGATCACGCGAACGCTTCCTACCTCGGCGCGATGTTCGCATTCTTCTCATTAATTGGGAACAATCCGCCTCGCCGCTCCGACGCGGCGAGGAGACGCCTCAAGGAGGCGAGGGCCACGTGGCCGCTCACAGCGGGGACAGCGCCAATCCGTGCGCACATTTACCAGACTGCCTTACACACACACTCACTCATACACGCACAAAGACACACACACATACACGCACACACACGCACACACACACATCCACACACACACGCACTCACACACATCCACACACACACGCACTCACACACACGCACAAAGACACACAAAGGCACACACACACATGCACAAAGACACGCACACATACACACACGCGCACACACCCACACACACACGCACACACACATGTACACATGCACACACAAAGATCCCCCGTATAGCCTGAACAGACTGTAGGGGCAAGTGCTGTTAGCGAGCACCTATGAAGGCCGGGACGGTACACGAGGGGGTGGGTGGCCAGCACCACGCCCGACCGCCTTTGTCTCCCTGGTGGCGATGTTTACACACCGCACCAGGTACTCATTTAAGGCTGAGTCGACCTAGGGGAGGCCCAGGACCGGTTCAGATAATCGTCACTGGTGTTAGCCGTGAGCGGGAATCGAACCCGGGTCGCCAGGTTCATAGCGCAGCGCGCTAACCGCTACACTACCGCTCCCCACTCACACGCACGCATGCACACACATGCACACACTCACACACACGCACACACACACACACACTTACACTCACAAACACACACATTCACACATGCACAAAGACACACTCACACACGCACACATGCACACACACTCACACACATGCACATCCACGCACACACACGCACGCATGCACACACACACGCATGCACACACACACGCACACACACGCGCACACACTCACACGCACACAAACACTCACACGCACGCACACACGCACACACACATGCACACATGCACACATGCACACAAGCACACGCGAAACATCCACACACACACTCACGCACACATATGCACACATGCACACGCACACACACACTCATACTCGCACACACACGCACTCGCACACACACGCACTCGCACACACACGCACTCACACACACACGCACACACACTCACACATCCACACACACACACATCCACACACTCACACATGCACACACACTCACACATGCACACACGCACGCACACATGCACACACACACGCACACACACACATCCACACACTCACACATGCACACCCACACACACACACGCATGGTCCGCAATGCGATGATGTCACAGTCAAGCGAGCATCGCGGTGACGCTAATCTCCACCCTGAGCCGATGGTGGAAACTCCACATTCCCGTGGCGGGGGACCAATCTACATCGGACACCCGTCCGCTGCTGACCATCACGTTCTCTATCAGCCTCTCGATCACTGCCGCACGATGAAATGTTGTAGTCTAAGTTTTTGGCGGGTGGGTGGTATGGGTGGTGGGTGGGGGGGGGGGTTTGAAAAATAAAAATTGGCTCTCGACTTGGCCACCGGCTTTCACAGCGGCGCCGCGCTATCGTGAAGGGCGGCCGCACAATCCGAGGTCCCCCCGTGCTGTCGGGGCCGTCGCGCCCGGGACACGCGCGCTGCCGCGAAGCCGGTGCGCCGAGAACGACCCCAAACCTGGCCCTGCTTGGCTCCGAGCTGATTCGGATGTCTTGCGAGGTCAGAGTTTCAGGGTTTGGCTCCGGCCGAGCGCGTATAGCCCCCAGTGCACAACCAATCGTACCGCGAGGACCCTCCCTGTGCTTGGCACGGCTCCAAAGTGCCAGTGGAAAAGGAGGTTACGGTGAGAGTGTTTAATTTTGTATTGAAACTCTGAGAGATATCACAATAATCTGCCCGTCATCCCTCGGAGAGTCTACCTCGCCCTTCTGCCAACTGTGGTGACCCATTTTGTGGTTTGCCCTGCGCCTGTTATCGTCACGTCCCATATTTACAAATGATCCCCCGGAGATCAGCCGGGCCAAACTCAAGCGCGAACCCAGAACCGCAACAATGGCTTTGTTTTGTTCAAGTGCCTTCGTCGGTGACCGTGCCGGGACCTTCGTACCGGCTGCACCGGAGATCCTGAAGCTAAACTCGCGCGGGACTCTGGGGCCCAGGAACTCTCCGATGCCTCCACTGCGCCTGCGCTCCAACGGCAGCGCTGGCGCTTGCTGGCTGCCTGTGCCACCCGGGCCTCCCCGCGAGATCAAAGGCGTGCCCACTACGATCGCCCACCACGCAGGTCCTGCACGGAGGTCCACGTGAAGATCCTAGATGACGAGGTTTACACACGGTAGTTCTAGAGGAAGGTCCTGCGGGAAGCTTCCTACGAAGCTCAAGGAAAGACATCACGTGAAGGCCCAGACCACGAGACCGCCGGCATCAGCCGAAGGGGAAAACACCGCAACCGGGGCATGAGGAAGGCCCACATTAACGTTGACACCGTCAAGATATGGCGCGAAGGCCCAAAGCGAGGTCCCGCGTGAAGGCCCCCCACACACAAAAAACAGCAGCAGCAGCAGCAGCATGCAACGTGAGGCCCCGCAAGCCAGGGGCCCTCGCACGAGGGGCCACGCAAAGGCCCCTCATTCCTGCACGGCCGTGGGGCGCGCGCCGGGCGGCGGCTTGAGAGAAGGCCCCGTGAAGGTCGGCGACGGCGTGGGGGAGCTCGACATGGCGTCCTCGGACGTGGAAAGAGACGCCGAGCTGGAGCCTGGGGAGAGGGGGGCGGGCGGCCATGACGGTGATCAGCACGGGGCAGCATGCAGAGCAGCAGCAGCAACGTTCTCGTGGACATCATCAACGTCGATTTAAAGCTTTCGTGACTGCAGGGATTCATCTTCTTGGTTCTTTCGGTAAAGTCACGTAGAAGGAAAATAATAAAATAATAAAAATAAATGTTATGTTTTATTTTTGTTCTTTTATTATTTTATTATTTCCCTTCTATGTGACTTTACCGAAAGAACCAAGAAGATCATCAACGTCGTGATAATTGCAACAGCCTTGCAGACGAGCCATTCCGCCTCAAGGGCTCTTGCAAGCGAAATGCAGTTTAACGAAAAAATAAAATGAGAAAAAATACGTAAAACTTAAAACATTGGTGAAGTATGGGCAAACAATCCCCACGACTGACGCAACTCGAGAAGGCGTTCATCCATGAGCGGACCGGCAAAGGGCTGCAAAAACTCCTCCTTTGTTATGAAATGGCACCATGGGAACGCCGTGCTTATTTTCACAAAGGTGACCATCGTACTCGCCACGGGACCACACGTGCTTACAATTTACCCACAATGGCAGTTTCCTTTAAATAGCCTCCCTAGCATCGGCCGAGCGCGTGTACCCGCTGGCGGACAGGGTCATCGTCGGTGCACGCCACAGACGGTTAGCCCCTCGGCCAGTGACGACGCCGGATTCTTTTTTTGCCGCAATATTTTCACGCTGTCCCGTGGGCTCGCACCGAGCGCCCTGCTCACGATGCCCGCGTGCGTTTGTGAAACGTACATTGGGGGGGGGGGGGGGATGGAGGGGGGGCTCGTCGCTGGCAACTCTGAAAACTCCACCTTCTCGCGGCGGGGCCGAGATGCCGCCGCTCTCTTGCGGGAGAGCCGCTGACGGCTGCCCGCCCCCACGAAGCGCCGCCCCCGTTTCACGGACCCCGGAGAGGAATGACCGACTCCACTGACCCCGACCGCGGGATTAATTCAGGCGCATCTCTCTGCGGGGTGGCCACCGGGCGGCGGCTCGGAGGTCAGAGCACCGAGCCGGCTCCGTCGAGACCCCGTCTCCAGCATGGACAGACGTGCGCGTGTGGTGGGGAGGGAGTGGTGGTGCAGTGGTGTAGTCAACGTGTTCCGAACCCAGCGACCTGCGTTCTATTTCTGGCCACGGATAGCAATTGGCGGCGAGCGATATCTCAACTCATCCCGAGCCTCCCCTTGGTCGACTCAGCCTTCAATGGTGCTTTGGCGTGCATGGTGCGAGTGACAACGTGCGTGCGTTACTAGTCTGTCTGTACATGGTACCTGGGTCTGTTCCGTAATCTCCTGCTGGACAGCCTTCGAGTGGCCTCAAAGCGCACCTAGTCTGGCACAAGCGCCGTGGTAACGTCATCGCGTATCGCGGCCGTCGTTGTTGTGGGCTGTATGTGTGTGTACCTATAAGCACACGCCGTAATATCCATCGATTGCACGGGAAGGCCTCATCGAGCCTCAAGACTAGGAGGGTTCCGCGATGGGATGTTCGTTTGTCTCAACGCGGGAGGAAGCCGGAGGACCCCCCCCCCCCCCCCCACACGCACCAGGGCAGGGAGCGGGGGCAGCGCTCTCCTCTCCTGGCCGCCCCACAGCTCCCGAGCCGACAACCACCCACAGGCTCTGGCCGTCACCCAACCGGCACGAACCACACTCGACCACCGCAGAGTTTCCAAGCTCCGGTGACGGCACGGGCTGCTGGGTCACAGGGATCGCGAAAGGAAACGCCGCCACCAACGCCACCACCAACTCTGCCAACGCCACAACTCCGATCGTTGTTGCGCGTTCTACTCCCGTTGCTTCCTCGGCTGGCGCTGTGTTTATCGCAAAGCCTCGGTACAGCGCGCGCAGCGTCATAGCAACTTTAGCGAGCGTTATTAATTAAGGAATGTGCAATTCTTCCAGCTCGGTGCGGATTATCCCTAAACGCCCTCGGATTTTCGCGGACAGGATCGCGCTCGGCGAGGCGCGACGGGGTCGCGGGCGCGCGGGAGATGACGCCACGACACGGGAGATCGTGCACTTTGTCACAATTAGCACAAGTATGTTCATACGTAGGGCAGCCACTTCAAGTGGTTATGAATCTTTTGGGGTAAAATTGCAAACATTGGGGGGTGGTGGTGGGGGGGGAATGCAGCCCAGAATGACAGCGGCACTTCGCCCAAAAGCCTCGCGTGCTTTTGGGATCACATCCCACGCTCTGATCAACTCAGGCCATCATCATAACAAACTTCTGTTGTGTTGCGGACAGACCGGCCCCACGGCTGGTCCAACGGAGCAGGAGGCGCCAATGATCGACGCGCGCTTCTGTGCGCTCGTCACGGTCCGCAAGCCCCTTTAGCCCGCAAAAGGCTTTGTGGGGGATTAAATGTTCGACAACGATGTCTAAAAACATGTTTTTTGGTCACGTCGTTTTTGTCGAGCAGAATATGCACTTGTGCGCGCGATGGCAGCAATGTGTCTAGGAGCTAAACGCCAAATATTGAAAACCGCTGGCGACGATGAGAGGAGAAAGAGAGAGATCGTGTAGTTTTGCTATTCCTCCATACCCAGCCACCTTTCTATCCCCTGCGATTATGTTTAGCCACCGCACGAGACACTCAATGGAGGCCGAGTCGACCTAGGGGAGGGCCAAGCTCCGTTCAAATATTCACCACTGTTATTGGCCTGGCGCGGGAATTGAACCCTAGACACAGGGTTCATAGGGCGGTGCGCTAACTATTGCACTCCCGCTCCGCATGCCTGCACACGTGCACGCACACGCGCACGCACACGCGCACGCACACGCTCGTGTGGGCAGCAGAGTCGATTCCCCATGCCCCCCTTGCGCGCATGCCTGAGCCGAAGCGCTTACACAAGCGGGCGGAGAGGCGCGGCCCAACGACACAACCACAGGCCTCGTGTGGCCACTTCGCGACACGCAGCAGCCATCTGAAGCACGCCGAACGCGTTGGACGCGGCCAGCGGCGAGCGCCGTTGGCGTCGGCCGCCCTGCCCGCCACTCACGCGGCCGCTCGGTTCGCCCCAAGCCGATTGCCCCCTTGACCCCGCCGCTGGGCCCGCCTGTTTACTTTTCGTCAAGGGGCCTCCTCCTCGCAGCTCGCAGGCGCCGCAGGGCGATCCGGGGTGGGGGGGGGGGGGCATGGCGCTCAAGCCATCCGTGGAAGGCCCCCGACCGACCGGTGGCGCAGCGGACGAAGCGCTCCGCTCTCACGGTGGGAGCTCAAATCCCGCTCGGAGAGTCCCGCGGTCAGCGCATCGTCCAATCGGCGTCGATAAGACGAGGTCCGCTTTGTGAGATCACCGTGTGGTCGTCCTTTGAGGAGGCTGGCCCTTGTCATAGGAATGGGGAATGTCCACCAGTGCCTCGGGGCCATCAGCTGGAGATGTGAAGTGCTCCGTGTGTGTGCGCGCTCAGGAGACACGAGGAGTGGATTGTGTTGCGGATTGCGTTTTACGCCACGGCTTTGTGCAAGTTTCCTGTTCCACCCTCTCCACCCTCTCCCTCTAATCTCACTTTCATCCCCTCTCCACGCACTCTCCACCCGCTCCCCTGCACACACTCTTCGCTCCAGAAAATAAGGCTTTCCATCAAAGCAGTGGGAGGTCGCTCATTCTCCTCTGCTGCCCCCACAGTCTGGAGCCCCCTTCCCCGAGGGATTCGTGCTGTTGACTCCCTACCGCTGTTCGAGTCCAGGCTCAAGGCCGCAAATCTCTCTGAAAAATAAACATCGCAAAATATAATCGAGTCGAATTATGACACAAATCTAACAGAGAGGATCCATTCGCATAAACATCGGGCAGTTTCACCAGCATTGCTGGTGAGACGCTGCTTGCCGAAACAGGTCAAGCGTTTGCCTGCACTGAATCAATGCTGCTGAGGCTACACATCCCCAGAGAGCCGTGTTCGTCACAGACGTGTGAAAGGAGGCATCGTGTTCACTTATTTATTTTGCTACTTATATTCCCCGTGACGACGCGGATGATTGCGCCGCGCGATTGATTTTAACAAGCGGCCCGCAAAATCATACGCCTTGAAGCCTCGCCAATCGGTCTGCGGGCCCAAGTTTGTTATTCTGTCCAGGGTGGCAAACCCACAAACTACAAAGCAAACCGTTTAAACGGCTTCTGCTGCCCGTCGGCGTCTCGGCCACGGCACGAGGTTTAATTTAGCGACGTGAGCAGAGCCCCGTTCACAGCACTTACCCGGGCCCTGTTTCTCTTTCAAGGTTTCACGAGATAATCATAACCTTCGCTCAAACAAAAGTGTGTGTGTGTGTATATATATCGTGTTTTTGGAAATTGCCCTAATAGCTTGGCCGTGGCTTTCAAAGCAAAAATGTTACGGGGGGGTTATTTATTTATTTTATTTGCAAGTGGCCTTGGGGTCCTGTGGCCTCCCCCCGGAGCACAGGGCCTGCCCCCCCCCCCTCCTCCTTGTGTGCGGGGGGTGCGAGGGGGGGGCACGAGGGGGGAGCACGAGGGGGGGCACAATGGGGGGGGCATGAGGGGGGGCACGGGGGGGGGCACAAAATGGGTAGGGCACGAGGGGGGGCACGAGGGGGGATCTGAACGCGGACGGGCGCTGAGGACGGTGACACCGCAGGCAGTGACGGCTTCCCGGAGTGAGCGGGGGGACGATCGCAGCCAAATGCTGTAGAGTCTTTGGCTGTGCGCGGCTCTACAGCGGTGGCGCTGGAAGGGTGACTTCGGAGTCACTCTCCGACGATTGACTACCGGAGGGCTTTTTTATTTTAAAGTGAACAAACGTAATCTCTTCCGTGATTCCGTACTTTCTAATTTGGCGGAAGCGAAATTTTTTATTACTTTCATGGTTCCCAGGTCAGGTCGAAGCATCTCTCTGCCCTAACGAGAGCCAATGGTGTCAATTCCACATTCCTACGGCAGGAACCAGTTTCTCCCCAAGACAATCACAGAGTCCACAGGCCCCGGGGTGCTGGGGCTACGAAGAGGGGAAAGGCGCCGACGGGGGCCGGCCAGGAAGCCACGTTTTGCTCCGGGGGCCTCTGCCGCACGAACCACGGCCACTGGTCAGGATGCAGACTCTCACATCAACCCCGTCATTTCTACTTTCTGTACTTTCTGTACCACGACCCCGGAGTGGGAATAAGTGAATTGGCTATCGACGTCGCTCGCCGCTCACTCCGGCACACTCGATCTGACGCGGAGTCTCAGGACAGGCCCCTACGGCTCCTCAACTTCACTGTCCATCAAGCGAGACCCTGAGTCGGCCCCATCGGCTGTGATTAAGACGGAGCGGGGAGGCTCAAGTTACATCTGCCCCGGCAAACGCTTCCTGCAATTACCCGGTGAGCAAGGGAGACAGTGTTTACACCGTTCCACTAACAGCGTTTACACCGTTCCACTATCACACGCAGCGTTCGCACCATTCCACGAACACTCTCCCGGGACACTGACACTCTCTCCACACCATGTCGATGTTGGGAATTGTTTGACCATACTTCACCACGCTGGACAGCGCGGGTTGGTGGAGGGCGAGCAGCCCTGTTCAGGTAGCAGCCGCCAAACGGCATTAGCCGTGGCTGCTGGGAGCGGCCGCGTTAACGGCACTGGCGCGCCGACTGCTGTACCGCCACTCCACCACCCCCCCCCCCCCCCTGTGTCGTAATAACAGTGGAATGGATGCCAGGCAGGAAAAAAAATCCAGGAATAAAACAAACAAACACAGAAGCGACGCGATATGAACCTCGAGGGCACACGCACGGATTTATTCTTTCTTTTTTGTTAAATCCCACGGCGTGGTGCTGTGGTCCACGGCCCACCTACACGCAGTGGTTCATGAAATAAGTTCCACTGTGTACGAAATCATTATTAAGGGCTGACTTGTCCCTACCACGTGAACGTGCAATTTCCACCGCAAGCCTTGGGGTCAGTGGAGATGTGTTCCACCCGTTTGAATGAAAAGACGCTTTTAACTCTTTTTCCACTGCACAATCGAGCCGTGCTGACGCCGTGCCAGTCCGGCACGGTTCGGGATGGGCCCGGTTTTCCACCGCAGAAGCCGAGCCGCGCCGCGCGTGGCGAATGACGCGAGACGTGCGTAGACGCCGCTCCCTCGCGGTGTGCCCCGGACCCGTGTCCGGTCTCAAGGTTATTTTGTTCAACTGCGAGAAATAGCTCGAGTGAGACCACGAAGAGTCCCATTGGCAAAAGTGTCCGAAGTCGCCACCGTCGTCAGCCCCACCACTGGCCCTGCTTGGCCCTGAGCCGGATTCAGAGATCTTGTCAAACCAGAGGATCGTGGCTTGGTTCTGGCGCGGCTCGGCAAATAGCCGATGGAAAACCACCGACCCCGTGACTGCCCCCACGCTGGCACGGCTCTGGCATGCCAGTAAAAAAAAGAGTGGATTCCGCCCTTGTAAATGCGACCGCCACATTTGAGAAGTGCTCAGTGCTGAGCTCGGCTTGCGGTGTGAGGAAGAGGGGTCGGCGTGAGCGACCGCTCTCCCTGGTGCACGGCATTGTGGGAAAAACCCCGCGGTGGCGAGAACCTCACGCTCGCAAACAGCACAGTCGACGATGACAATGACGAGGAATACAGTGTGTGGGTTGTGAATGAAGATACAACACATTGATGATGTCGATGACAATAAATACAACCGCCATGAGGAGTATAACGCGCGCTGCTACTGATTATGATGCTGCTGCTGAAGGTGACATAAACAGTTTAGTGTAACTACTTTGCTTATCATCAGCTATGGCGATCTACTGAAGACCTCCCCCCCCCCGCCCTTCCTTCACCAAGCAGTCACCATCTCTCCCGGTCCCACAATGCAACAATCCACCCAGCGCATGAGCCGAGTTCCCCACTCCATCTCCTTGGGGGACGCCCTCTCTGACGGATTCCCTCCCTCGGCCGCCACCGTCTCGTTCGTCTCGACCCACAGGGCAGTCACCCCACGATGTCTCTCAGCAGAGCACGTGCTCTAGTCCACGACGCGTATCCTTCTGTCCCTCTTGTGTGTAAATCTTTGCTTTCGCCGGATTGACATCCTCACAACGCGTGATGCGCAAAAATGTTCCTGCGCCTTCTGCCGAGAAATGGCGGCAGGTTTAGAGAGAACCACTCCTGCATCCTGGCGCTTCTAGGATCTGGAATGGCATCTTTCCCTTCCGCACCGAACGTCTGCTCTGTGGCACGCACCAACACTGCACACCGGCTCTTCTCAGAACGATTCCTCACCCTTTGCCACGGTGTTTGCCAGGCTTTGCCACGGTGTTGCTGCCTGCCTGCCTGGCTGCCTGCCTGGCTGGCTACCTGCCTGCCTGCCTGGCTGGCTGGCTGGCTGCCTGCCTGCCAGGCTGCCTGCCTGGCGGCCTGCCAGGCTGCCTGCCTGGCTGGCTGACTGGCTGGCTGCCTGCCTGCCTGGCTGCCTGCCTGGCTGGCTGGCTGCCTGCCTGGCTGCCTGCCTGGCTGCCTGCCTGGCTGCCTGCCTGGCTGGCTGGCTGCCTGCCTGGCTGCCTGCCTGGCTGCCTGCCTGGCTGGCTGGCTGCCTGCCTGGCTGCCTGCCTGGCTGGCTGCCTGCCTGCCTGCCTGCCTGGCTGCCTGCCTGGCTGCCTGGCTGCCTGCCTGGCTGCCTGCCTGCCTGCCTGGCTGACTGGCTGGCTGCCTGCCTGGCTGGCTGCCTGGCTGGCTGCCTGGCTGGCTGGCTGCCTGCCTGGCTGCCTGCCTGCCTGGCTGGCTGCCTGCCTGCCTGCCTGCCTGGCTGCCTGCCTGGCTGCCTGCCTGCCTGGCTGCCTGCCTGGCTGCCTGCCTGGCTGGCTGCCTGGCTGCCTGCCTGGCTGCCTGCCTGGCTGCCTGCCTGGCTGCCTGCCTGGCTGCCTGCCTGGCTGCCTGCCTGGCTGGCTGGCTGCCTGCCTGGCTGGCTGACTGGCTGGCTGCCTGCCTGGCTGCCTGCCTGGCTGGCTGGCTGGCTGCCTGCCTGCCTGGCTGCCTGCCTGGCTGCCTGCCTGGCTGTCTGGCTGCCTGCCTGGCTGGCTGACTGGCTGGCTGCCTGCCTGGCTGCCTGCCTGGCTGGCTGCCTGGCTGGCTGCCTGCCTGCCTGCCTGGCTGGCTGCCTGGCTGGCTGCCTGGCTGGCTGCCTGGCTGCCTGCCTGGCTGGCTGCCTGGCTGGCTGCCTGCCTGCCTGGCTGGCTGCCTGGCTGCCTGCCTACCTGCCTGGCTGGCTGGCTGCCTGGCTGGCTGCCTGGCTGCCTGCCTGGCTGGCTGCCTGGCTGGCTGCCTGCCTGGCTGACTGGCTGGCTGCCTGCCTGGCTGGCTGCCTGGCTGGCTGCCTGGCTGGCTGCCTGCCTGGCTGACTGGCTGGCTGCCTGCCTGGCTGGCTGCCTGCCTGCCTGCCTGGCTGACTGGCTGGCTGCCTGGCTGCCTGCCTGGCTGGCTGCCTGGCTGGCTGCCTGCCTGGCTGACTGGCTGGCTGCCTGCCTGGCTGCCTGCCTGGCTGGCTGCCTGGCTGGCTGCCTGCCTGCCTGGCTGGCTGCCTGGCTGGCTGCCTGGCTGGCTGCCTGCCTGCCTGGCTGGCTGCCTGGCTGGCTGCCTGCCTGGCTGACTGGCTGGCTGCCTGCCTGGCTGCCTGCCTGGCTGGCTGCCTGGCTGGCTGCCTGCCTGCCTGGCTGGCTGCCTGGCTGGCTGCCTGCCTGGCTGGCTGCCTGCCTGGCTGGCTGCCTGGCTGGCTGCCTGCCTGGCTGCCTGGCTGGCTGCCTGCCTGCCTGGCTGCCTGCAAGCGTCCATCCTCGTTTAACCTCGGTTCGTCGGTGAGCTGCATTTCGCTCCGTGTTACTCTTCCACACGCGCCAAAGGAGACGTTTCTTTTACCTGCTCACAATCTTATTGCGAGTTTGGCGTCGACGCCAAGTTCGCGGGCGCCCTTCACCGCGGCGCGATTTCCCCCTCCCTCCCGTCCGTGTTCCCTCTCTTGCGTCCCACCCCGGCACTCCGCGTCCTCCCCAGGGCTCTCGCCCCGATCGACCGAAGGGAGCGAGCGAGCGAGCGGAACGCGCGGGGGGGGGGGGCGGGGGAAGGATGCGCGATCGGGACGGGCGCTCAGTGCAGACAGCACCACCTACTGCCTTTGCTGGAGCAGGCGGGGTGCAGCGTGCTACCGTTGAAGGGCACCGCGGGGGGGACCACCGCCTGCGCCGGCCCGTCCTGGCTGCAGCCCAGTTGCAGCTTCCGCATGTGCCGCACCACCGCCGTGGCGTTGAAGGCTTGCTGCGCGGACACGATTCGGGCGTCAGCGGCAGTAGCAGCATCAGCAGCAGGAACATCATCATTATCATCATCAGCGTCAGCAGCGGTATCATCATCAGCAGCAGCAGCCATAGTATCATCATCAACAGTAGCGGTATTATCAGCAGCAGTAACATCATCATTATCATCATCAGCATCATCGGCAGCAGCAGTATCATCATCATCAGCAGCAGCAGTAGCATCATCATCAGTAGCATCATCAGCAGCAGCATCATCATCATCAGCAGCAGCATCATCAGCAGTAGCGGTATTATCAGCAGCAGCAACATCATCATTATCATCATCAGCATCATCAGCAGCAGCAGTAGCATCATCGGCAGCAGCAGTAGCATCATCATCATCAGCAGTAGCGGTATTATCAGCAGCATCATTATCATCAGCATCATATCATAAACAGCAGCATTGTCACCTTCATCATCATCATCATGAGCACGCTCATCATGATTTGCGTCATCTCTTTCATCATCGGCGTTCTTTGGGCAATTTGTTTACCTCCCTTGTGCTTTGCACTCCCGTGGTGTTGTTGTTTTGTGTTTGTTGTCACGTTCTTACCCGCCCCGACTGGACATCTGTGAAGAAGAGCTTCATAGCTCATCGGATTCCTCCGGGAGAAATACACATTCGGATTCTCATTTTGATTATCCGGCTTGGTAGATTTTGCGGAAAAACGAGTGGCTCACAATTGGAAAGGCCCTGAGTTCAACTCCAGGTCGTGGGGTTGACTGAGCCCATCGTTCCTTCAGGGTCGATGAACACGAGTGACACTGCTGTGGGAGAGTCAACAGAGGCTGTCCTATGGATAGACTCGCCCCTGTCATTGGAATGTGGAATTTCAACCACTGTCTCAGGGTTGTAAATGGGAGAGAGGCACCGCCCCAACGCTCATTGAGCAGGAAATCACTTTAACTTTCAAAATCCTTTTCATCTGTGGCATTCTTTACCACTGACATCACCACCGCCATCAATATAAAACCGACGCCGTGTCTCAAGAGGCCTTGTTAGGAGGGTCCTGCTCGGAACGAGGTGGTTCGTGGCTGAAATGCCAAGAGGCGAGCGAGAGCGGGGCCGGAGGGCGCTTTTAGAAAGTTCAATTTGATACCGAAAATCAACAGCAGGGCCTACAGGAGACGGCGCGCACAGCCCGCTGCTGCTGCTGCTGCGACGGCAAAGCGTGGGGAACACGAACGCCGGTGGGGAACACGGAGCGCGAGGCCAAACGTGCGCGGAAAAAAACATCCCGCCGTGTGCTGCCGGCGGGGGTGGAGAGAGGCAAGACGGAGGCGAGTGGCCTACACGGCAACAAGATCAGCCGATGCGGCATCGAGCGCATCCCGCAGACGAAGAAGGGGTGGCCGGGAGCGTTGGGGGAGGGGGTCCGGGCAGGGAAATACAGGAGGTGACAGCCGGGTTGAGCGCGTGAATGCTGCGCGTTTTTCTCACCTTCCATTTGCTCTTGGCAAAGTTCTTCTTGATCTGCTCGCTCACGGACTCGTGAATGTTCCTGTCCAGGGCCGTGTCGCCGGCGATCCTGCGCCAAGCACGAAGCAAGAGCCACACACACGGTCCGCGTCTACCCGTGCCAACGAGCACGCGGCTCAGCCAGGGGTCGCTACCTGGAGTGGTGGCGACCCCAGCCCAGGTTTGACCCGTACGGTCTGGGAATTTGTGTCGGGTGGCAGGAATCAGCTTGTACTGAGATCTTGGACCAGCATTTCGGTGCCGAACTTCACTCCAGTAAACCGCACAGTCGCGATCATATGCCGAGTACTGACTGACTGAGAAATATATCTGCCTTTGGTCCGCAGCGGACAACCCCAGCTTGGCAATCCCAGCTTAAGCATACAGCAGAAAACACACGCAGTGGCATGGGCCAGCTTCCCAAGTAATACTTATCATATTATTTTAAGAGCGTTTACAGCAGAATATGAAACGTAACGTGAACGACACGAAGGAGGGATGGAGCGGTGGCACGGCGGTTGACGAGCTGCCGTACGAACCAGGCGACCCGCGTCCGACTCCCGGCCACGGCAAACCATCGGCGGCGAGCGGCATCGGAGGCGGACCTTCACCGAGCCGCACCGAGCCGCACCGACCGGAGCGACCAAGCAACGACGGGCGTTCGCCCGAGCGGCACAGCAGAGCGCGAGACCGCGGCGAGCGCGGGACTCACCACGGGTGTTCCAGGGCCTGGCTGCAGGTGTACCTCTTGACCGGCTCCTTCTCCATCAAGTGCTGAATGAAGTCTTTCGCTGGAAACACAACAAGAGCGACGGTGCCCTCGAGCGCTGAACGTCACCGATTCACAAACCGCCGCTGCGACACGCGGGGCAAGACTGGAACTCTGCTAGAGGGCATTCTCGAGTGCTATTTGGCCTACTCTTCCACGCGCGGGTCGGATGTTTTGGAAGAGGTGGGAGGAGCCACGCTTTTTACCCCACCGCTCCGCGAACCCATCCAGGCCTTCCAGAAACTCGCCCCCCGTCGCTTCATCAAGTCGAATGCGCCGCTGGCAACCTCCTCCCCGTCACGTGCTCACGGAGGGAGCGGGGGCGGGGAGCGGGGGAGGGGGCGGCGCGACTCGCCGTCCCGCGTGTGTCAACTAGAGCCGAGCGTCGCGTCACCTGAGTCGGAGATGTCGTCCCAGTACGGGGAGTCGAACTCGTACTCGGCCTTCAGGATCTGCTCGAACAGCGTCGCGTCGTTCTCATCGTAGAAGGGCGGGTATCCGCACAGCCTGTTCCACACCCGCGCGGACGGCAACGGCGACAACAACAACAACAACGCGGCGTTACGAGCGATGCGGCATTATGAACTATTAAACTATTTCTTATTTTACCAGGCAAGGCCCCACTGAGCTATGAGGCTTTTTTTCAGAAGCGACCAGGCCACAAATGATAGCTCAACGAAGTGGCTTATCACGTGGTAATGTATTAGCAGCCAAAATACTCTAAACGCGTGATTGTCGATTCTCAACGTGGAGGGGAAAAACTGGAGGACCCGGAGTAAAATCCACACGACCACGGGAAGAGAAACGTGCAACTCCAAATATACAGCAGGTGTCAGGGTCGGGAATCGAACCCACGACCTCTTGTATACCAGGTGAGCTAGTTAACATCTCCTAGCCACCGTGATATGATGAGAGAGAAAGACACGCCAACTCCAAATATACAGTTGTCAGGGTCGGGATCGAACCCACGACCTCTTGTATATCAGCCGAGGTAGTTAACATATCCTAGCCACCGTGATGATGATGATGAGAGAGAGAAACACGCAAACTCCAAATATACATGTGTCAGGGTCGGGATCAAACCCACGACCTCTTGTATACCAGGCGAGGTAGTCAACATCTGGCTACAGTGGCGCCCATTCTGAACGATCAGAACCGGGAGCGAGTTTCCCGGTGAAGACCACTAAGCTCAGAGGCTCTTGCCAAGAGCGACTCCACCGGCAGAGAACATCACAGCATTACAAAATTACAGATTCACAAAATCATATCTTCTTTAGCAACAGCAACAATGTCGTAAGATCGCATTCACACTTAAACGTGAGTGATTTCAAGAGAGTCGGTTTAAATGAGGAGAGAGATGGCTGAGCGGAGATGCCAATTCAACAAAACCAGGTGGTTGCAAACACTTTGGGGCAGCTACATTAAGTTGCATTACCACCACGGAACCTCTCTGTGGGCGTCTGTCTGAGTGTCTTTGTGTGCGCGCGCATCTGTGCGTGTCTGCGCGTGTGAGTGCGTGTGAGTGCGCATCTGTGCGTGTGAGTGCGCATCTGTGCGTGTCTGCGCGTGCGAGTGCGTATCCGCGGGGAGCAGTAGCGCAGCTGTTGGCCGGCCACACTACGAACCCGGCGACCCAAGTTCGATTCCCGCTCGCGACCAACACGAGTGACGATTTTCTGAACCTGTTCCTGGGGCTCTCCGAGGTTGCCTCAGCCTGAAATGAGTACCGGGTACGCTGTCTAAACATCGCCACTAGGGAGACAAAGGCGGGCGGGCGTGGTGCTGGCCACCACCCCTAAGTGATCGCCAATTGCACTTGCCTCAAAACGCCTGCGAAGGCTATACGGGTGACCTTTGTCGTTGTGTGTGTGCGGTGCGTAGCCGTGCTGCTCACAGTATGTAGGAGATGACCCCGATGGACCAGCAGTCCACCTCCTTCCCGTACGGCTTCTGTGCCAGGATCTCTGGGGCTGCAGGGACAGACGCAGCAGCAGCAGCAGAATTCAATAGAACCAGCAGAGTCACTCCTCCAACAACTACAACAACAGCAGCTTACAACCACCACGACCACGCCAGCTGCAGCGCCGACTATACTAGCAACTGGGGCAGCAGGGTGGTGCAATGGTAACACTTGTGCCTCACAGCAAGCGGGGCCTGGGTTCAATTCCCTGCTTGCTTTGGGGGACGCCAACAGCAGTCACCCTGGAGATATTTTTTCCTGCCATGGGAATGTCGAATTTCCACCATTGGCTCGAGGGCTCATTTTGAGTAGGGACACGCTTAGACTCTTCGTCCCTGAGGTAAGAATACTCCTGTTAATTTTATTTCCGCAATGTGGTCAAACTCAAACACAGCGCTCTAAGTACCGAACCGTGAAACGGCTCCGAGGACTTAGTAAGACCACATAGGCGAGACAAAGGCTGACACGGGCCTGCGGCAGGCTTTCGGTCCTACGCCATTCCCCCCGCCATCTCTCCCAATTGCCCACCTCACCCACACAGAGGTCAACCGCCGCACTGCAGGTCACAGCACTTCGCCCAAAGCGACTTCAACCCTGATGGTGCTTGCAAAGACGAACGGAGTTGACAAGAAGTCACAAACACCTCGCGAAGAAGATCCCTGGCCTGATCTCCCGCGGGGCTTACGACCACGAAACCTGAAACGCACCGACGGCACAAACCGCGGCACAAAACGCGCTGCAAGCCGATACGGCTAACCTGACGACGACGCACACGCAGAAAATGAAAAAACCAAAAACTCTCCGGCAGTGTGCAACTGTTGGTCACTACCCGGAAGGGAAACACGCGACGACTCGGTGCCCGATTCACAGAGACGAAGGGGGAGGCATCGTCGCAACGATGCACCACTCCCCGCTACTCCGAGACGCGATGATCTGCCTCATTTCACAACCTCCAAGTCAAACGACAGTACTGAGATCCGAACGACTCGCATAGACATTTAGGCTCAGACAGAGATCTATAGATTAACATACAGAATCGGTACACTCACAGAGACCAATACAGAGACCTATAGATTAACATACAGAATCGTACACTCACAGAGACCAATACAGAGACCTATAGATTAACATTCAGAATCGAACACTTACAGAGACCAATACAAAGACCTATAGATTAACATTCAGAATTGAACACTTACAGAGACAATACAGAGACCTATAGATTAACATTCAGAATCGAACACTCACAGAGACAATACAGAGACCTATAGATTAACATACAGAATCGTACACTCACAGAGACCATAGAGACCCTATAGATTAACATACAGAATCGTACACTCAACAGAGACCAATACAGAGACCTATAGATTAACATACAGAATCGTACACTCACAGAGACTCATAGAGACCTATAGATTAACATACAGAATCGTACACTCACAGAAACTCATAGAGACCTATAGATTAACATACAGAATCGTACACTCACAGAAACTCATAGAGACCTATAGATTAACATACAGAATCGTACACTCACAGAAACTCATAGAGACCTATAGATAAACATACAGAATCGTACACTCACAGAGACCAATACAGAGACCTATAGATTAACATACAGAATCGTACACTCACAGAAACTCATAGAGACCTATAGATTAACATACAGGAATCGTACACTCACACAGGACTCATAGAGACCTATAGATTAACATACAGAATCGTACACTCACAGAAACTCATAGAGACCTATAGATTAACATACAGAATCGTACACTCACAGAGACTCATAGAGACCTATAGATTAACATACAGAATCGTACACTCACAGAAACTCATAGAGACCTATAGATTAACATACAGAATCGTACACTCACAGAGACTCATAGAGGCCTATAGATTTAACATACAGAATCGTACACTCACCAGAAACTCATAGAGACCTATAGATTAACATACATAATCGTACACTCACACAGGACTCCTAGAGACCTATAGATTAACATACAGAATCGTACACTCACAGAAACTCATAGAGCCCTATAGATTAACATACAGAATCGTACACTCACAGAAACTCATAGAGACCTATAGATTAACATACAGAATCGTACACTCACAGAGACCAATACAGAGACCTATAGATTAACATACAGAATCGTACACTCACAGAAACTCAGAGACATATAGATTAACATACAGAATCGTACACTCACAGAGACTCATAGAGACCTATAGATTAACATACAGAATCGTACACTCACAGAGACCAATACAGAGACCTATAGATTAACATACAGAATCGTACACTCACAGAAACTCATAGAGACATATAGATTAACATACAGAATCGTACAGTCACACAGACTCATAGAGACCTATAGATTAACATACAGAATCGTACACTCACAGAGACCAATACAGAGACCTATAGATTAACATACAGAATCGTACACTCACACAGACTCATAGAGACCTATAGATTAACATACAGAATCGTACACTCACAGAGACCAATACAGAGACCTATAGATTAACATACAGAATCGTACACTCACAGAAACTCATAGAGACCTATAGATTAACATACAGAATCGTACACTCTCACAGACTCATAGAGACCCTCTCTCTCTCCCGGCACGCTCCCTCGCACCACTCCACCTGAGAATCTCCTTTCCCTCCCTCGTCTCTTTTCCCAGCTCTCGCAGTCACAACAACAACAACATCAACCTCGCCCAAGTAAAGAAACACGTTAAGCCCTTTTCTACGACAACGTTAATTCGTGATGCTTTTTGTTGCTGGCCGATTGGCATTCTGGGCCACCTGTGCTCGGCCAACGCGCGGTTTGAAGTAAATCTCCCACGCCGCTGCCCAGCGCCACACGACACGCGCGTTCCGTCTGTTCGGCAGATTTCATATCGTCAATATTATCGGTGGGGAGCGGTGGCACAGCGGTTAGCGCATTGTACGGCTAGCGTCAGCGGCGAGCGATATTCTTGGGTGCCCTCGTCACCAAGCCGCAGTGACCAGCCTGGTGAAGTATGGTCAAACAGCCCTACGACCAACGTGGCGTGGGAGGGGCTCTTCATCCAGTCGTGAATTGATAAAGAGCTTCACGACGTTGTTAATATTATTACTATTCTTTATCTCAAAAAAAATAT